CCACAAGCCTGAACTGATCCTCTACGAACACCTCCCGCCGTAGTTCTGGCGGACAGGGAACTGAGTTTAGCACACAGCCCCTTAGCGTTGAGGGTTCAGTAGAAGCTCAAAAGTTGGGAAAACCCAATAGCCTCAATCCTGAAGAGTGATGTACAGGGAATCCCAGCACTATTCAACCTTAATCCGGTTTCCAATTTTTCGGGGTTCACTATAAAGGTGTAGGTTTGGGATTCAGGGTTTCGGGACAAAATGTGGTTACGACCCTAAACCCTAAACCCTAAACCCTAAACCCAGCTTTAGCTCAAAGTCCAGAAACTGGGTTCTCGGTACTGAGCGCCGTGCCCTGTGAGGCACCGTCCGTCCAGCCGGACCACAGTTGCCGCTCCTCCTCAAAGTGACGGAATGATATAGGGGCCTTTGGGTTTAGGGTTTTAGGGTTTAGGGTTTAGGGTTTAGGGTTTAGGGTTTAGCGTTTTAGGGTTTTAGGGTTTTAGGGTTTTAGGGTTTTAGGGTTTTAGGGTTTTAGGGTTTCGGGTTTAGGGGCCTTAATAATTACCTATACTATTTTGGGGGTTCCTTATGATGATTATAGTGTAATGGGCCCCAAAACCCTATTCCAATTATTAAGGCCCCAACATTAAGGAAGCCGTCTTGATTTGTTGGGGGTCTTGTAGGGTGCCTCTAGGCTTTCAAGGGACTTTTGGGGCCTTGATGGTTTAAGTTTTATTGGTTGGGGGCTTGAGGCTTCCGTAACGGTGTTCAGGTTGCGATTCTTCCTGGCTAAGTAGGAGTTTCGTGTGTTTTGCAAGCTTTCAGTACAGGCTTTAGTGGGTCCTGGAAGCTTGGATGTTCGGCTATGTGTCCAGGTTGGCTATTCTTTCTGCTTCTGGGTTGATTTTTCCTATCCTGTTGCGACATGTGGGTGGATGTACGGTTCACGACAGTTTGGGGTTCGGGTTAACAGTCAGGGTTTCCAGGCCCGGAAAGGATCGACGCACTGAGGCCTCAATTCTAGTGCCTCCATCAATCGCTACAACATCCCATCAAGGACTTGATGTTTGTCAGCCCTTGAGCAAGAGACCGCAATCTAAGCCCTAAAACCCCCAAGCCCAAAACCCTTAAACCCTAAAACCCGTAAGCCCTAAACCCCCCGAGCCCTAAACCCTAACAGCCCTCAAAACCCTAAAGCCCCCAAACCCGTAAACCCCGAGACCCCTAAACCCCTAAACCCTAGAACCCCTAAGCCCTAAACCCAAAAAGCCCTAAGGCCTAAAGCCCCTAAAGCCCTAAACCTAAACCCTAAAACCCCTAAACCCCCCAAAACCCAAAACGCTTAGGCCCGAACCCTAAGCCTTCAGTTCAGACCCCGAAGCCCATATCCCAAACTTCAAAACCCCCGGACCCTCACCCCAATAGTATCCGCATGGTACCGTTATGGTAACCCTTACAGTGCCCTTATAGTACCCATATTAGTGGACGATTTAGGGCTTAGGGTTTAGTGTTTAGGGCCTACCAAAGCAAATCTCGAAGCCCTGAGGCAAAATGCAGCACGTCGTTGGCTCGTGCGCCACTGGGCTGCAACTGCTCTACCACGCGTTTTGGGGCATAGAGCTCTGTAGGGACAACAACGGAATATGATTCCCGATTATGGCTTAAAGATTATGGGTTTTCTAAGGGCCTGAGCTTGTTTTCCTGATGTTGACGGTATGTGACAAAGCTGAGGCTAGTCCCACCAGCATCCTGATCATCATCATGACCATCATCACCATCATCATCGTCGGGATTAGCACCATCAGTCAGACCGTCCCAAGACCCTAAACCCCAAGCCCAACCCTAAGCCCTAAAACCCAAACCATCCCAAACCCTAAGCCCTAAACCCAAGGAGCAGAGCCATGCAGGCGTACAAAGAGACCGTCAACCCAACTTAAACAAAACCCTAAACCCTAAACCCTAAACCCTAAACCCCAAGCCCCAAACCCCAAAAGCACCAGAGCGTTGCCCTTCTCTCCTGGGTTTCGGCGGGGGCTGTGAGGCTCTGAGGATGCAGGATCGACAGGCTTAGGGGTTCAGAGTTAAGGGTTTAGGGTTCAGAGTCAAAGGGGATTGGTGTTTTTTTTTGAGGGGAGGGGGGAGGGGTGTTTTTTTTGTATTTTTGGAGTGGGTTTTGGGGCTTTGACCCTAAACCCTAAACCCTAAACCCTAAAGCCCTAAAGTTTCTTTTTAGGGTTTACCGGTTCAGTCAGGTCTTAGAGGCCGAAGCCACGGCCAGCACCCTAATGCAAACCTCAAACCCTAAAACCCTAAACCCTAAACCCCTAAACTCCTAAACCCCTAACGCCTAAACTGCCCTAAACCCCTAAACCCCTAAACCCCAAACCCTGAACCCCTAAACCCTGAACCCCTAAACCCTGAACTGCCCTAAACCCCTAAACCCTAACTCCTAAACTCTAAACCCTAAACCCTAACTCCAAAGCCCTAAACCCTAAACCCTAAACCCTAAACCCTAAACCCTAAACCCTAAGCCCTAAACCCTAAACCCTTAAACCTAAACCGCGAGGCTACTACGGCCGCCCGGTGGACCGGCCCATGGAGAGGAAGGCCTCCCCACTGCCTCCTTTTGGGGCTTTGTGGGGTTTAGGATTTAGAGTTTTAGGGTTGAGGGTTTTAGGGTTTAGGGTTTTAGGGTTTTAGGGTTTAGGGTTTAGGGTTTAGGGTTTAGGGTTTAGGGTTTAGGAAGGCCTCCATTGCCCGCTTTGGGGCCTTGGGCCTAGGACTCGGGGTCCTGTTCTTGTTCAAGAGCTTCGGGGTTTGGGTTTAGGGTGTAGGAGTTAGTAGGGTTGAGGATTTAGGGGTTCAGTAGGGTTTAGGATTTAGTCGGGTTTAAGATTTAAGATGGTTTAGGATTCAGTAGGGTTTTGGGTTTAGTAGGGTTTAGGATTTGGGGGTTTGGTGGATTTTCAGCGAGCTAGTTTGGTGGAGATTGAGGTTTTGAGTTTCCGGGAGGTTAGGGTTTATAATGTAGGGGCCTAAAAAAATATTTACCAGTACTAGTTTGGGGGTTCCTCATTAAAATCAGAGCCCTTCGAATTACTAACTAAGGCCCCTATGTTACCTGCAGCGGTTGAGGGGCTAGAGGTTCAGCTGAGGGGACCCATAGGAGAGAGTGGATAGCCCAACCTGACCAAGGGTTCCTACACCCCAAACCCTACCCTAAGCCCCTAAACGGTTTACGGTTTAGGGTAACGGGCCCTGAACCCTAAACCCTAAACCCCAAACCCCGGGAACCCCAAACCCCGGGACAGTTGGAGGATGTAGGATTTAGGCTCTCTCTTGGCTATGTCTCCCTGGGCCAGTTGTTCCTTGGGCCCTTGTTTGGGTTTTGGGATGGGGGTTTAGGGTTAAGTCTGTAGGGTTTAGGGTTGGGGTTTGGGGTTTAGAGTTTAGGGCTAAGCATTTAGGGCTTAGGGATTGTGGCATTCTGCGTTAGGGTAGATTGTAGAGTGTAGGTGCTCGGCATGGGGTGCGGTTTCCCGAGCCTCCGGTATTCCAGGTCATAGATGCTCGCTCTGGAAGGGGTTCATGATGCTCCCTCTGCTGCAAATCAGCGGTCAAGATCTAAGCTCATGAAACACATGACCGCATCGGAACACTAAACTCCAAACCCTAGGCCCTGTGCCTTAATCCGTAAAATCCAGAAGCTTAGTCTTATGCGAGCCTAAACCCTAAACCCTAAACCCTAACCCTAAATCCTAAACCCTAAACCCTAAACCCAAACCCTAAATCCCAAACCAAACAGCCCGAGCCAGGAAGACAAGATGTCTCTCAGCGAAATGTCGCGAACCGAATACCAGGCCTCGCCGGGCCGAAGGGGGTTTGGGGGCACAGACGTGGGTTTAGGTTTGTGGTAGGGTTTAGGGTTTAGGGTTTAGGGTTTAGGGTCTTCAGGGGGGCCGGAGAATGATAAGTTATCATGCCTCCTTATAGTCCATGTACGCGCATAGTATAATATGCCCCGAAACTTTACCCTAATCTCAAAGGTAGTCCTTCTTTCTGGAATTGTTGGAACATGCTCCTAACAAGGCGCCGGATACCAAGAAGCCCTAAACCCGACAATCCACGGACCCCTATCCTCATGTCCGAGCCACTGGTGACAGTCGGCAGCATCATGATACTTGGAGGATCATGGGACTTAGTAAGTAAGGTTATAAGTCCCTTAATTGGGGTTATAAGTACAGTTACCCTGATTATAACCCTACTTACTAAGTCCCACGATCCTTTAAGTAGGCTTCGAGAAGATGTAAACCACCAGAGTTTACTCTACTTGCAAGGTATACACTTAGAAAACCACAGATGCATTCTTTCAACTGCACCTTCTTGTAAACCGAAGCCATACTGTAAACTCACACCCAAACCCCCAACCCCTCAATCCCAATCTCAAAACCGACACCACAATCGAGCTATGATTACTATCATTGTTTTTTATTCTAATTTTCATTGATAGCATTATGTTTAGTAGTATTTTGTTTTATTAGTGTTAGCATCATTGGTATAATATTTCTTCTTCTTCTTACTATTATTATTAACATTACTATTATTCTTATTATCATGGTTGTTACTGTTGTTAGTATTATCATTATTATTGCTATCATTCGTAGTATCATTACTATTGATACACTTATCCGTATTATTATTGTAGTTGTATCATTATGACTGTGATTATGATTATGAATGTTATATTAAGGTTTCAATCTCGACCCCGAGAGTATAGGCACAAAGCTCTTTTTGACATACAGCAGCACAAACCACTGAGTTAGAGACTCTTCAGTATACCTGTAAGTAGGCTATAATGAGCATAGGAGCTTAAGGCCGGAATTTTAGGCGACCTCCTGCAGTTAACGGGCATTTGGATTCACGTGGGTATAACACTTGGGACACACACACAGAAAAACTTTGTCTACCCAAGTCAGCGAGAGTCTAAACCCTCAACCCAGCAAGAGGTCATGAAGAAGGAGGTGCGGGAAGCCATGCGCAACGCCATTGGTGGATGGCACCTGATCTTGGATTTGCCCTGCTTTAAGATGGAGGAGGCCCGCTAAGGGCTGTGGCGTTGGGGTTTTGGAAGGTTCATTGAGGATGCGGTATTACGGCCCTTGGCTGCAAAGACTTAACTAAGCCCGAAACCAGGACATTGTTGGTGTGTAATGATCTCCATGTTGAGAGATCCGATTCTTCTTATCCTGTGCCATCGGCAATTCAGCCGAACTGGTCCTGTCCACTCCTTCTGACCGCTCCTGACTGGTTGCAGTTTTAGTTTAGGGTTAGGGTTTCCAAGTCTCGAAGCCTGAACCCTAAACCCTTCACCCGTACAGCGGAAGCCTCAACACCACAGCCGCACAGCCATCGTAATGTGCACGAGCTCATTGTAAGCCTCCACTTTGTGGTCTCCCGCCCTCTAGCTAGTTCTCTGAAATAGGGACCCTTGTAAGGTCCTTTTTATAAGGGTGCCGTACTATATTGGCGACATAAAAGCAGACCCACATATAGAGAACTATCCATATTCACGCTTCGAGGTTCGGGGGCTTTTTCGAAGATTCAAGTTTCCTCGATTCCTGGACTTCTGAAATCTAGAGGTTCTAAATCCTGCCCCTTTCTGTTGGGATGCGTTTGTTGGCGTCTCTATGTTGCGGGTCCTTCGTTGGGGAAACTGTCTCCAATTAAGGGGCAGCTGGTGCATGAACGTCATTAGGCTGAGAATCGCTTTAAACGGCCCTATACCCCAGCCCCAAACCTTGCAAAGGTGATCCCCACACCCCAAACCCCAAACCCTAGGCCCGTACCCCCTAAACCACGTTTCCGTAAGAACCTTGAGTCCTTAAATGCCAACACCATAGTCTTCCCGTACTTGCCTTAGGGTTTTAGGGTTTAGGGTTTAGGGTTTAGGGTTTAGGGTTTAGGGTTTAGGGTTTAGGGTTTAGGGTTTAGGGTTTAGGTTGCCTTATATAACTGTAGTATATTCCCTCCCCCAAAGCCCTATTCAAATTACTACGGCCCCTATATCCCGAAACCCTTTGTAGCTCCTTTTTAGAAACCCTTCATAGAAACCTGAAAGGAGCCCTTTTTGGGGAAAGGCGCTAGATCACCAGAAGAAGCCGCCCGCCCATCAAATCGGTCGCATGGAAAAGAGCAAAGCCTGACAAATTCCCTAAACCCTAAACCCTAAACAAAGCCTGACAGAGTCCGCGAGGAAACCGTCCGGAATCTACTCTTCGAGCTTTCACAGTCGTACTTCTTCAAGGATCAAGACCCAATGTCCCTTGGGTTTAGAGTTTAGGATTTAGGGTTTAGGGTTTAGGGTTTAGGGTGCTGGATTTTACAAGGGTTGTTGTGTCAGGTTTTGCACAGGTTCTCGAATGGTTTGGGTCTAGGGCTCTGAGTTCAGGCTTTTGGAGTCTAGGAGGTGGGGACCCTGAACCCCCCTAAACACTAAATCTTTTGTCCGGGGTGTTCCGGAGGATCGGCGTGAGGCTGTCCAGCGGCTTTACCTTGTTGTGCTTTTGCTCTTAAACTTTAAGCCCGAAGCGATAGAGTGAGGGCTCGTCGTGGGTTTCTGGGGGCTGCCTCTTCTAATTTTCGGTTTTCTGCACCTGTACATGTCCTTGTTTCTGGTGACGGTGCATACGTTCCTCGGTTCAGGGTTTTCGGTAGTGTTCCGGATTTTGGGAACCATCTAGGAGCCCTTCTAGGAACCTTCCCTAGTTTCGCTTCCGAGCTCTGGGGACAGCGGTTAGTGGTTTTGTCCAGTTTAGCCGGAAGTTCTTTCGTCCGTGTTTTTGGGCAAACCTTCTTCTCGAAGCGAGAAGGTTCTGAGCTTCAAGTGGCCGTGGGGGGGTGCCAAGGGGTCGGGGACTCACGTGAGTCACAGGGCAAGAAGACCAGATGTGCTCAACCTAACAGGGGGCGCAGACATGTTCCAGGGCAAGCCCTAAACCCTAAACCCTAAACCCTAAACCCCTAAACCCCTAAACCCTAACTGAACACGAATTCCGAAGCTCCAGGCACCCAAGCTTAAACCCAAAAGCCCTAGGCCTCGTGACCCGAAGCATGGGGCGAACATACATGCTGACGCAAGCAGGTGACTGGGCAAGGGGCACTCAATGTGCGTACACTGTATACACAACCTTTCGCCCCAAAGACTGGACCCTAGACCCTAAACCCCTAAACCCTAAACCCCTAAACCCCTAAACCCTAAACCCTAAACCCTAAACACTAAAGACCCCTGTCTTTCAACCCCTAAGGTTGGTCTTGGACTGCATCCTCGAACTGGAGACGGTCATTGCGGACAACATGAGGGTTTGGCAGCTGGAGGTTCGCGCTTAGGTCTAGTGCATGGAGCTTGTGGGGCGGGGCTTTCAGGGTTAAGTGTTCAAGTTGAGTGCCCCCCACACCCCCAAACCGTAAACCCTAAACCCCAAAAACCAAACCCTAAACCCTAAACCCTAAACCCTAAACCCTGGGTTTAGAGTTGAGGGGTAAATATCTTTTTTTTCTTGGGGGCCTTGGGGGAGTGATGCTCAGGATCGACAAATTTTCAAGGGCTTTACACAGGCTTAGGCCTAAACCCTAAACCCTAAACCCTAAACCCTAAACCCGAAACCCTAAACCCCAAACCCTAAACCCTAAGGGTTTAGGGTTTGGTTTCGGGGCTTGGTGTTTAGGGCTTGGGTTTGGGGCTTGCGGCTCAGGGCTTGGGGTTTAAGGTTTGGGGTTTAGGGCTTGGGGTTTAGGGCTTGGGTTTGAGGCTTGGGGTTTAGGGCTTGAGTTCGGGGCTTGGGATCTACGGCTTGGGGTTTAGGGCTTGGGTTCGGGGTTTAGGGTTTGGGGCCTAGGGTTAAGAGTTTGGGGCGAGGTGGTCAGGCGTGACGGGTGTTTCAGGTCGTGGAGGTCTTGTCCACGGTTCTCCAACGGCTTTGTCGGGGCAGATGTTGCTGGAGTTTAGGGTTTAAAAAAGGGCCTTAATCATCATTACCTATACTATTTTGGGGGTTCGTTACAATAATATTTATAGTATATTACACCCCAAAACCCGATTCTGAGTATTGAGGCCCCTACGTTAGCGCTTAGGGTTCACGGAAGCTGCAGTTGATGCCTGCATGCGCCCTGGGCATCATCGGGACAGTGGCTGAACTGCAGAGGATCGTTATCAACTCAACAGGGTTTAGGGTTTAGGGTTTAGGGTATCGGAGCATGATCTGAAGTCACTGCTGTGGGCTATCAGTCCGGTCGAGAGCTGACAAGGCCGTTGCAAAAAGGGTATCGTTATCAACTCACCCTAAACCCTAAACCCTAAACCCTAAACCCTAAACCCCAAACCCTAAACCCTAAACCCTAAACCCTAAACCCTAAACCCTAAACCCTAAACCCAAAAACTGGCCCTATGCCCTGAAAGCACACTGGTCGGGATCTGTTGACTAATCTACAGCGAACCCCAGAAAGTTGGAACATGGGTTTAGGATGATTAGTGCTAGGATCCCTTATGCTGTACCTTAAAAGCAAGAGATATTGATGTTCCAACTTTCTGGCTTCTAGTTTATGCCGTTTGAACATTCTCGAGCACATTCCAAACCAGCAGCTCGCTCTATCTCTCCAACCCAAGAGTTAAAACCCTAAGCCCGAATCTCACAACTCACAAGGGTCTAGCATTGAGGGTTTAGGGTAAAGAGGTTAGGACTTAAAGTTTGGCGATATAGCGTAATCTAGGGGCTGTAGTAAGTAGAATAGGGTTTTGGGTTCCTTTATTTATACTCTGTTATAGTAAGGAACCCTCAGGAATAATGTTGGCAATTATTCAGCCCTCTACCCTAAACCCTAAACCCTAAACCCTAAACCCTAAACCCTAAACCCTAAACCCTAAACCTATTCAGCCCTCTATATTAAAGCCCTGAACTTCCACATGCAGGTGGAAATCCAGAGAATCGCTATCAAGTGTGTCCGCGATGCTCAAGATGCCTCAGACTCTTGGCGCTGAAGATCCAGTTAACGCAGCCCGCCGAGGACCCACTACGCCGACATCAAAGCATCAAAGAACCTACCTGAAGCTACAGACGGCTCGATAATCATGAGTTGTTAGGGTGTGTACTGACCCTAAAGCCTATTCTTTAAGACCCAACGATGTGTGTAGGGGTTTCTGTTAGCCGACCACCGTTCGGAGAGAGGTGACCATCAGAGACGGCTGTCCTTTTCTAGGTATAGGGTTGTAGGGTTTAGGGTTTAGGGGCTTAGGATTTCGGGTTTAGGGTTTAGGGAGGTGTTGGGCTTCTAGGTCTTCCAATACGACCCCTCTGCACTGTTTATTTTGAGGTTTCCTTGTTCACGCAGAGCCACAAAGAAAGGGTAGCATCAGAAAGGATTGCTGGGGAAGAAGTGGGGTTATAAGTAGGACCAGTAGAGTTTAATCCATATTCGCTCACTTATAACCCTGATATAAATGCCCATGAGCCTCCAAGAAGTATTGGGCTCTGTGAGTTTCTTGTATTCGAGGTCTACCTGGGGCGGTGTTCGAGCTTAAGACGCTTATGCGAAGGGAAGGTGCGCAGTTTGAGCAGTCAAGCATGCACGACATTGAGTCCAGATGCTAAGCAAATACAAAATCTCCCAACCTATTCTAAACCCTAAACCCTAAACCCTAAACCCTAAACCCTAAACCCGAAGCACATCTTGAGACGGTCGGTGCAAGGGCTTGCGAGGTTCTCAGTGCCCTGAAAACCCCTTGTGTAGCACCGCTCAGACGCGAAAGCACGAACTTGCAACGAACGGCGCGAAGCACCGCAGACCAGAGTTTGAGTTTGGGGAGCAGGTTCGCAGGTTTCAAGCACAGGGTTTAGGGGAGGGGTGGTCTTTTGGTTAGGGGGCAGAGTCGCGACGAATACCACATTGATGCCACCGGAGCTAAGGAGACGGAGCACGATGCGAATTTATTGCAGCTGCTGTTCGAGACGCCTACGAAGTTCCGGCCCCAGTTGTCTGCTGCAGGTGTCTGGGTTTTATGGTTTCCCGGCTCGATTTCCAAGGCTTTTGCCGCCCCCGCGCCCGAGAGACTATCACATGTTACATCTAGTGGATGCTGTTGATCCTGCTTGGCCATGCTATAGGCAGGGCCTAAGATTGAAGGCTTAGTTTAGGACGGGAACAGGTTAGTAGTTACCAGAATTCATCAGAATTCCTGGTGTTTGGGGTCCAGAAGTTCAGACGTGCATACCCCTAAATCCCAAAAGCCGCTGGGGGGCCCTAAACCCTAAACACTCTCTCTCATGTGATATTTAAGCCTTACATGGATTCGTGGAATGTGCCTTTTCGGTGCGCTTTTCGCCAAGTTCAACGAAGAAATCGCCAACTTCCACGAAGAAACTGCCATATTCAGCGAAGGGCCGGCTCTTCGTTGAATAAAAAATTCCTCGTGGAATATGGCGTTTTGGCAATTTCTTTGTGGAATATGGCTTTTTTCCGTCAGGTTAGGACCAGGGTTTTGAGGTTCAGGGTTTAGGGTTAAGTTTAGGATGTCAGGCTTAAGTTTTAATAAGAGGAAAGTGGTCTCCTAATGATATGGGAATCCTGCGTGGGTGAGATAAATTCTGGAGTTGAGCTCGACTAGAACTGCTCGATTTGGAGTTGCTGAACCCTATACCCTAAACCCGAACAGCCCCACTTGGAGGTTCATAGGTAGTTATAAATATGGTTATACGTCCCTTAATCTGGGTTATAACTATAGTTACCCTAATTATAACCCCACTTATAACTACCCATGAACCGCCAAGCAGGCCCCCATTGCCCAGGCTGCGATACATCATCATTGAGGCCTTTGCTGCCTTCCGGCAAGCATCCGCAGGCCTCGTCCTTCTGAGGGCTCCCTTAACCCTAAGCCCTAAGTTCTGAACCCTAGACCCTCAACCCTAAACCCTAAACCATGAACCCTAAACCCTCAACCCTGAACCGCTTTAGGGGTTTAGTGTTTGAGGGGGAGGTTTCAGAGCTTCAGGCATTTGGGTGGAGGGGTCTGGTGGGTTGTTTTTGGTTGGGAGTTGAGGGTTTAGGGTTTAGGGGGTGGAGGGGTGTGGTGGGTTGTTTTTGGTTAAGGGTTTAGGGTTTAGGGTGTAGAGTTTAGGGGCTTCGGTTTAGGGTTTAGGGTTTAGGGTGTAGGATTTTGGTTTAGGGGCATTTCGGGGGCCTAAGCATTGAGAGATTTTGGAGGTTCAAGAACCAGATGTCTGTGTTCGGCCTGCAGCAGGGCCGGACAGTGGAGAGTGGGCCGAAATCGGCAAACTCGCAAGCAGTTACACCTGTAACACGCCCCAAACCCTAAACCCTAAACCCACACGTGTCCCGTGCCGGAGTGGTCAGCAGAAGTGTTCCTGCGCCCCACCGGCAAAGCATAGAGCCAAGAGTAGCGCAGCAAAGCTAAAGCACTAAGTCGCGAAGTACGAGTCTGAGTTTAAGTTTAGGGGTTTAGTCGTTTAGGTTTAGGGGTGTAAGGGTGTATGGGTTTGGGGGTTCAGGGGTGTTCAGAGGTTTAGGGTTTAGGGTTTGGGGCCGACGTTGCCGGCAAGAACCGTCACCCCCCCAAATCCGAAGACTTGAGCTCCGGCAGCGCGGTGTCTCCAAGGACATCAAGAGTGCCGTCTCCAGGCTGCACATGTTCCTGGGCCATACAGCCTCAACGAAGCGTGTCAGGATGCTTTCAAGGGTCCGTCACCCAGTTGCGCGAGGATGAGACATTAACCGCCACCGCGACCGTCGCGCGGGTGGTTTCCTACATGGGCCACGTGAGGGATGTGACTGGCGCCAACCACGTCATGATGATGGATACAGCGACCAACTTACACCAGGTACGGTTGCTGCCAGATAGATCCCCAACGACGTGCCTTGAGGCTTTCAGTGAGATGAGGGTGCTGCTTTACGCCACTCCTCTCAAGGTCTGGCTTGCCCAAGACAAGAGCTTTAGGGAGAGATGTGGGAATGGCCAGTCAGAGCCGGAGTGCCTGGACTAGGGTTGTTGTTCGGGGTTTACCTAGCCTGCCACCACCACTTATAAGAGCCCAGACACCCACCGTCAAGGATTATATATCCCCTGTTCAGCGTATGTTGAGGCGCTGGCAGGGTTCAGGGTTTCGAGGTTGCGAAAGCTCACAGGAAATGGTGCCGAAGAGACGAAACTGAAAGCAGAGCCAGAGACCACAAGACTGCGCCCTAAACCCTAAACCCAACTTCTAGCCCTTTTGTAGCCTTTTGGGGCCATAACTTCAGTTTTCCCTACATTAAACCCGAAGCCCTAAACTCTGCACTTGGGTGCCTAACCCGGGCTGAGGGCTTACCTGACATGTCGTGCAAAGGATACAGGGCAGGTGCAGATCCGGACACTTCTACGCCTCCAAACACCGAATCTAGCAGTAAACATGTCAGAGACCACCAGCTGGTGATGAAGGGGTAGGGTTTAAGGTTTAGGGTTAGGGTTTGAGGTTTAAGGTTTAGGGTTTAGGGTTCAGGGTTTAGGGTAGAGTTCAGGAGACTGGGCTTCTTCGTTCCGGCGCTGTGAACTCTATGGATGGTGCGAACAGCTTCAACATTGGTTCGTATGTGTATAGTTCGAACACGGCGCAAGATCTGTTCTTGTCCTTAAGACCCCGCTTCCGAAGCCTTTTCCGGAATACGAGGGTTTTGTATGGCCAGAAGACCAAGGTACCGTAGGATTTCTTAGGCGGGTCGGGAGTGTTAGGGCCCCTTGCCACGCAGATCTCGCCCGGCTGCTTCAGAACGAGCCCATTTGGACGCGGCTCCTCAGCAAACGCTGGCTGGGTGCGCCAGGCACGGCCGCGTGCTTTGCTTATGTGCTCTAGGTTTAAAATTTAAGTTTGGAGGTATCGGTTTTGACTTTGAAGTTTCAGGTTCTTCAAAAAAACCTAGGCCGCTAGTTTCAACTTCCGGCGTTCTTCAACGGTCTTGACACGACCTTCAGTGCGAAAGGCTCGAACACAGAATCGCCACAAGGGCTCATTGTTCGGGCTATGTGTAAGCTTTAACCAAAAATATTGACGTTGGAGTTTAGGGTTCAGGGTTTGGCTTCAAAATTATGATCGCACTCTGGGCAGGTTTATTTATAGCTGCAGTATGCATCGTGGCTGATGTCGAAGTCTCTTTGCTCCTGAGTTACTTCATCCTAGACGCTAAACTCCAAATCCTGTCTCTCCATCAGCCGTAAACTCTGAAGCCTAAACCTCGACCTCAACACTATAGACCGTAAACCCTAAAGCCTAAACTCTATACAGCACAGAGTACCGGAATCCCAAATCCCAAATCCCCAGATGCCCTAGACCACAGACCACAATTCCTACACCGAATACCAGCATCCGTGAAACTCAAGACCCTCAACCCCACAGCCGAAAACCGACGCCCACGACGGTCCGACGTGAAACCCAATCGAGAAGGCCCAAGCCAAACACCGGACCGCTGGATGGGGGTTTGGGACATCGAAGGATCCTACTATGGCAGGGTCCTTATGGAAAGGTAGCTATCCCCAAACCCTTCGCCCTAAACCCTACCCCTTAATTCAAGTACTCCCCCCCTAAACCCTAAACCCTAAACCCTGAACCCTAAACCCTAAACCCTAAACCTTAAGTCCTAAACCCTACCCCTTAGTTCAAGTACCCCCCTACTCGCATGGAACAGTTGGGCCAGGCATCAACGAGTGCCCGCTTTACAACACACAGCAGACCGGGATGAAGATGCTCAAGGACTGGTTTAGGGTTTAGGGTTTAGGGTTATTTAGGGTTTAGCGTTTAGGATGCTCAGTGACTGATGTGGGTAGTTCTCTAAACTAGGCTTCCTTTCTGAAAAGGATGCCCAATAGAATTAGGGTCTCGGTGTAAAGGCTTTACATCTTCTGAATATTGCAGTCTGGAATGCTGCCCCAGGAGTTTCGTACGAGCAGGGCTCTATGAATCTTTTCCGGCATGGTGGAAGGTTTTGGGCCGTACGCTAAACCCTCAACCCTCAACCCTAAACCCTCAACCCTAAATCCCAAACCCTCAACCCTAAATCCCAAACCCTCAACCCTAAATCCTAAACCCTAAACCTTCAACCCTAAACCCTCAACCCTAAACCCTAAACCCTAAACCTTAAACCCTAAACCCTCAGCCCTATCCAGAAGGGTGCAGACGGGGTCCAGGATGTCGGGCTAATCATGGCCCTCCTTATTCAGAAATCCCTTCAACTCTTCCAAATCACTATACTGCCACAGGGAGCCGACCCACTTCCTCAAATCAACAATACAGACGACCTTAGCTTCAGGGGCAGGCTTCCGAGTCGCTGGGGTTCTTGAGGGACTCCTTCGGATTTAGGGTTCTTTCAAGGGTCCTTAGAGTTTAAGGATTAGGGTTTAGGGTTTAGGGTTTAGGGTTCAGGGATTAGGGTTTAGGTGTAGGGATTTAGGGTTGAGGGTTTAGTGTTTAAGGTTTAGGGATTAGGGTTTCGGGTTTAGGTGAGAATCTTCTAGCAACACGACGTTTAGATAGTTCCGACGTGGTAGGATCCCTGGTGCAAGTCTCACACCACAAAAAAGGACCCTAACGTACGAGAACTGCCGGAAGAGACCATGCCAGGACTCAGCCGATCGCCTGGACAAAGGCACAATCAATTTGCACCACGGCTGCAGCCCTAAACCCTAAGCCTAAACCCTAAACCCAGGGTTTAGGGTTTAGGGTTTATCGCTGATCCTTCTTTTCTGAAGCCCCTGTGTCGCTGCGAGCCGCAGTGGGCAGAACCCGCATAGGTATAGTCTAGTCTTCATCTGCACAGTACTCGTGGTTGTCGTCGTGCAGTGGGTGGTGATGGCACCAACAGCGGGAGGAAGAGACTGAAACGGTAGTAGCGGTGGAAGTGGTCGAGTCTTGCACATTTCTCAAGGTTTCAAGGCTTCGCGGATTAGGGTGTAGGGTCTTGGGTGGCTTAGGGCGGTTCAGGGGTTAAGGGTTTAGGGTTCAGGGTTTAGGTTTTCTGTTTCGGGCTGTTGGGGTCTTTGTGGCTGTTGATTGTTCGACATTAGGGGGAACAGACTCTTGATTTCAGGGTGGTGGTGCGGGGTTCGGGTTTTGTTGGAGGGGCCGGGGTATGTAAAATTGATTTCCCCCTTATAGTCACGCAACAAGTGCCCTAAACCCTCAACCCTAAACCCTCAACCCTAAACCCTAGTATGCTATCCTCGGTCACGAATCTCAATTCTCAAACTACTGAGCCATTACGTTTAGGGATCAGTGTGCGTGTTTCCGATGGGATTGTGTGGTATACACAATGCTGTAGCTTCACGGGAGTTCTGAAGGCACCCTAAACCCTAAACCCTAAACCCTAAACCCTAAACCCTAAACCCTAAACCCTAAACCCTAAACCCTAAACCCTAAACCCTAAACCCTTAGGATAGATGGGCAGAGTTTCTGTTTCAAGTCTGAACATCCCAACCTCCATCGCTAGAGTTGATTCCTGAAAGGAATTACTATTCGTGCCGTTCGCGTCATTGCTACTACACGCACCAAATCCTTAGTGGATGAGTAGGGGTAACCTTTAACCTTTTGGGGTTTATATAATCCTACCATAATTGAAAAGCTTGACCCTTTTTACTCAGCCCCGAAACCCTAAACCCTAAACCCGAAACCCCAAAACCGCAGATTATCATCCCAGGAGCGCGCTTCACACGATCATCCGCTACCGGAAGGTTTACGAGTCGCTGGTTGCCCAGGCGCTTTGTGAAGGGGAAAATATAGGGACCTAGCTAAATACCAACACTATTCCTTCGGGTTCCCTATTCTGGCTATGATTTTTTAGGGATTAGGGTTTAGGGCTTCGGGTTTAGGGCTTAGGGTTTAGGGTTTAGGGTTTAGGGCTGTGGTGTCTAGATCTGGGCTTAGGCCTGAAATTCTACATCGAAACTTGATACCCAAGACCCCAAACCCTAAATCCTACATCCTAAATCCTAACACGGCCCGTCCCGCTGCTCCTTATGCCAGCACAAACAGGCAGAATCAGCACATATGTGAGACCGCAGTCAACCGCCATTGTTAAAGCCGCCCCACGTGCCCACGGTCCCACTCTCGTGCAGAGAAAGGCAGGAGACTATGGCAATCAAAAAACCCTCACTGCGAGGTTGTTTCTGACCCCGGGTTTAGGGTTTTAGAGTCTAGGGTTTTAGAGATAGGGGACGCAACACGCTTAGGTTTGCGAAAAAGAATGTGAGAGTTTCAGAAACCAAGGGCCCACGCAGACCCGAAGCTGCTGTTCACCTGGAACTTGATCATCCTCTAATTGAACGAAGCCGCTATAGACTACAGTGGGCGGTATGAAGAAACCCGAACCTGGAACAATCCTTGGCTGAGGGTAGGGTCAGGTCACCCTGTTCAAGCCTCATCGTCACCAGTTGTCCTCCTCCTCTCTCCTCCTCCTCCTTCTCCCCCCTCTTCATCTTCTTGTTCTTCCTAATGCCCACCATCGCGATCACCACAGCTTGCGTCTTCGTCGTCATGGCCATCCGCTTAACAGGACGACGATGGTGTTGAGCTCTGCAACACGAAGATGTCTCTAGTTCCACGATGGAACCGTCCTGCAAACCCAGCCGAGGGGACAGAAGGAACACGGCAAATAATGCTGCTTTGCCTTGACATTTTTGGATGTTGGTCTTAGCTTGTCTTTACAGTACAGTAGACAGAAGCCTGCTACGTTTCTGTTCTGAGAGGTATTCGCCTTGTTCTCTAGGGCAGACATCACGTACTTACTCTACAGCAGTTTATCTCATAGCAGCCCTAGGCGGCTCTAAACCCTAAACCCTAAACCCTAAACCCTAAACCCTAAACCCTAAACCCTTGTATTCTTGAAGGTGGCGGCCAAGCCTACAGCCATACCCGAGAGTCGGGTCCTTGGCATCAGGGTGGCTCCATCCTTTCGTGTCTTTGGGATTTGGATTGCAGGATTAGGGTTTAGGGCTTTGGGTTTAGGGTTTAGGGTTTAGGGTTTAGGGTTTAGGGCTTAGGGTTTAGGGTTCAGGATCGCTGCCGCTGGTAACTAATTCTCCCGTGATGATGTGTCGGTGTTGATCTGCGTTTTGCTGATACGCTCTGTTTTAGGACTTTGTGGTTGGTTGCATTGCTGCAGTTATTACAATTTTACAAGTACTGCTATAGCTGCCAGGGTGGCTGCTAATGCTAATGCTGCGACGAGTATGCCATGTTTTCATGCTGATACTGCTGCCGAAGCCCTTAAGATCAACTTGTCACCCCTAAACCCTAAACCCTAACGCTGAACCCTAAACCCTAAATACGTCTTTGTCGTCAGGGACCACAACTCTGGCCACTGCGGTCGGATCGAGTTTTCAATTCTCCACCCACCCCGTTTCACCAGCACGTCAGCAAATCTTGCAATATGGTTTAGGGTTTAGGGTCTCCTTCTGCTCCTCCTCCACTCTAGACCCGAAAGCCCAAGACCTTTCAACCCAAAGCTTCAATGCTTCCGACTCAACCCTAAACCCTAAACCCTAGACCCTAAACCCTAAGCCCAAAACCGGGAATCTCAAGGCGACGGAAAGCTCAAGCAATTCGACACCGAGTATGAGCACTTGCGCGCCTACGTCAAGATGCGCCTCGGCTTGGGGAGTCGACCCGCAACCTGTATAGGGTTTAGGGTTTAGGTTTTAGGGTCCAGTCCCTGCCTTACTAAAGAACATACTTTTTTGGGGGGGCTCCTTGTAATGACTTCCTTATATGGGTAGTTCTCTAAATTAGGGTCCCTTTTAGGTCCTTTTTATGAGGGTGCCGTACCATATTGGGTGCCTAATGTAGGGGCTAAATTAACTAATTACCGATACTATTTTTGGAGCTCCTTGTTATAGTTATAGCATAAGGGCCCCCAAGCCCTACTCTAATTATTAAGGCCCCTTTATGATTGCACGCCAGTCTCTCCCTAAAGAACCTACTGTTTTGGGACTCCTTATTCTGAGTTCTTTGAGTCCCTCAAAAGGTAGGTTCTTTAGGGTCTAGGTAAGCCCCAGAGCCCTAAACCGCAAGACCGGAAACCTGAAGCCAAACACACTAAACCGCCCTGGATGCCCCCAATCCCAACCATGGTACGGTTGATGATATGAATCGTGCATTACCCATAACAAGGAATATACCATAATTCCCATAGTGCAGGGTCCTTAGGAAATGCAGGATTTACATCGTCAACAGTAGGTCCACCCGAACCCCATGGACTAGACCAAAGGCCGCGAAGCTACATAGTGAACCGACGGCAACCCTAAACCCTAAACCCCAAACCCCAAACCCCTAAACCCCTAAACCCCTAAACCCCTAAACCCTAAACCCTAAACCCTAAACCTTAACCGTGGCATGCGGCCTGAAACTCTGTCCTAAACCCGCCTTAACCCCTAAACCCTAAACCNNCCTAAACCCATCTAAACCCCAAAGCCCTCTAAAACCCCACACTCAGGTTCTGCTCCAGCGCCGGCATCGAAGCTGCCGACCTACAGAGATTAATCGATGGGTGCCTGGGCCGCAGCGCGGGTTTAGGGTTTAGGGTTT